GGACCAATGGGTGTTTTTTTTTTTTTTTTTTTTTTTTTTTTTTTTTTTTGGCCGGAAAAAAAAGTTTTTTTTTTTTTTTTTTTTTTTTTTTTTTTTTTTTTTTTTTTTTTTTTTTTTTTTTTTTTCGTTGGTTTTACACCCCTACGCCTCTTTAATTTTCCGATTTTTTTATATATTACTAAGTTTATTAACCACAACCGGGGTTAAGGTGGATTATCGCTTACAGTGTAATCAGTTTAACTTAGGGGATTCTGCATATCGTCGAGGGTTCAGCTTCTACTGATTGATTGATGAGTCAGTCGGTGAAACTCCGACGAAACAGTTTGTCACAGGCCCCCCTCGTTTGTTGTCCTCTTCTCCCTCCCTCCCTCCCTCCCTCCCTCCCTCCCTCCCTCTCTGCCACCTTCGGTTTACCGGGCAGCTCTGCTTAACGAGGGCAGTTCTGTTTGACAATATTTGACCATATATATGGACATACGAAACAGTTTGTCACAGCCCCTCGTTTGTTGTCCTCTTCTCTCTCTCTGCCTACGGTTTACCGGGCAGTTCTGTTTGTGACGATATATACGTATATATCGTCACAGAGTTATCATACATATATCGTCACATGAATATCAGAGCGCAAAGGCGAAAAAAACAGAAGAAAACAAGAAAAAAAATAATTCGTTTTTTTATCTTCTTTCTTACAACTCCCCCTGTTTATAATATATGTATGGTACGGAAACAGGATGCATGCTTTGAAGACGAGCGAGGCGTCTACCGCCACGTGGCATCCCAAGAAAAAGATCGCATGATCTTGGACTTACACGTTTTTTGGTTTTACACGTTTTGGGGTTTTGCTCGAAAAACGTTTTTTGGTTTTACACGTTTTTTCGTTCTACCGCCACGTGGCTCCAATGTATTCGCGGTGCTCTTGGTCATGCGAGCAATTTTCTCACTCGATCCTCATATGCCTTCCCAAAAAAAAAGAAAAAGAAAAAGAAAAATCAGAAATTAACAACATAAAAATAAAACCCTTTCGTTTAGTAGACAGCGCATGTACAACGTTACATTCACTGCACCACAGCACCGTTCAGGAGTTTTTTTTTTTTTCTTTCTTTCTTTCTTATGCTGTTTCACATTTGGAGTACCATAACGCCGCCGTTCAGTGATTTTCTCTCTTCTTTTCTCTGTATTTCAAGAATCTCTCATGTGCGCGTCTGAATCGGGATACCTGTCTGAATCGGGATACATCTCAGACTCGGGATACCTGTCTGAATCGGGATACATGTCAGAATCGGGATACCTGTTTAAGGAGGAACGAAGCATAGTGTACTATAATTAGCAGTCCTCAAATCGACTGCGCACTATATTCACACAGACCACCATTCTTTTTTCTTTGCAGAAATTCGAATGCTTTAAATGACAATTTCTGGCGGGCGAAGAAAAAACGACAAACACACACACACACAAAAAAAAAGGGACAAGCCCGGGTGAATATCCAATCACATCCCTTCCCCTTCCCATCAATCCCATTCCGATATACAGATAGCACGATATACAGTCACTGCCTGTGTCCCTTCAAGAGTAAACAACCCTAAACCACGGTCGCGTTCGAACACCGAGCCACCGATTCCGGTCAGCTACCCGTTTCAGATCCCGGTTTCAGATCCCGGTTTCAGATCTCGATACTTAGATCCAGTTTCGGTTCCAATCGGCCGGGACTAATCCAGAGTATCCTTGTGTGTGTGTCTGTCTGTCAGTGTATCTGTCTGTGTCTGTCTGTCAGTGTATCTGTCTGTGTGTCTGTTGTCTTCCCTCCGTTGTTCCCCCTCCTCCCTTCTTTTCCAGAGTCCAGACCCTCCACCGTCCCTCTATCATTCTGACCCCCTCCTGCCCACCTTGGCCCATCCCGCCCCGCTCTGCACCCCTTTTCGTGAACAAGCGTCGCGAATAGGGTATAGGGTATAAGAAGATGGATGCAATCTGGTGAAGGGAAGGAGCAAAGAACCGAGAGCGAGAGCGAAGGAGGGAACGGACAACTTACGTACATCCCTCGCCCATTGATGTGGAGGACATCATTGTCGGTGATCTTTGGAGGATGGAGATCCGCGCAAGACAGAGGATCAAACCACAAACCCGATAGATGAACACAGACAGAGGAAGAAAGGCGAATGACGAAGAGGAGGGAGACGGAGAGGCCACACGTCGATGCACAAGCACAAGCACCACAGACAAAGCCATGCAAGGATGTTGTGTGTGTGGGTGTGTGAATGAGAAGGAGAGAAAGAAACAAAGACAGAGACAGAGAGACAGAGAGACAGAGAGACAGAGAGACAGAGAGACAGCGAGACAGAGAGAGAGACAGAGAGACACAGAGATAGACAGAGAGAGAAGTGCGTCTACATCTGAGAGAGAGAGGAGTACAGAGAGACAGAGAGAGACACAGAGAGACACAGAGAGAAACAGAGACAGAAGTCCGTCTACATCTAAGAGAGAGAGAGAGAGAGAGAGGAATGAGCATATGTACCGATCGCATCGAGGTTGCAAGCCCTTGCCTCGCAGCGAGGAGATCCTCCAACGCCTCCATGCACTCCAAGAAAGCTTCCTCCTTGCGCTCTCGAATCGTGACAGGGCCCGGGACCACTTCCTCCTCAGACAGGAATCCGCTGGGAGCTATGGACGCGCTTGTTGTCTCGTTGCCACTGTCACCATGGTTATTGTCGAATTCATCATCATCACCAGGCGCACGGTGACCGACAGGACCGACAGCCATGTCCGACATCTCGTACATGCCCATGAGATCAATCTCTACAGTAATCCGACGGGGACAGAGTGCGGGCCCCGATCCCGACACGCAATACGGAAGGACGAGATGACAGCCAGCGATGTTGCTACAATTAGGAGTAGTGGTAGGTAGGTAGTGTGAGGTGAAATTGAGAGAAGAACATAGCTTTAAAAAAAAAAAAAAAAAAAAAAAAAACAGAAGTCTTGGACGAGCTGACGTGGATCTGACGGGGCAAAACTCAACTCACCAACTCTCCCGCCTAATTACGCAAAACCCCGCCGTACACGTATTGCTTCCCTGGGCCTCTAAGGGCATCGTCACAATAGGACCTCTTTTTTTGGTTATTTACAGACGTAATTCGAGTCATATACATCCAGCGTCCGGCCGTAAATGCAGTCAGATACATTTAAGATGGAGCTGGTGTGAGTATGCCCTAATGTTGTCCGTAAACAGGCAATAAAATAAAAGAATGCTGACAGCTTCTGCGCGAGGACTGTTTATTACACCATCAATCAGGGGATGCATTTGGCTCCAATCATATCCGACTCTGGATGCATCTGCCCTCAAACATGCCCCAAGCTGATTCCAAAACCCCTACCCTAGTGTGAACATGCCTTCAGTGTTCCAAAGACCTGTTACAGCACGGTACTATAGCAGAGTGCCGAAATTTATCGAGGCGAGAGAGAGAGAGAGAGAGAGAGAGAGAGAGAGAGAGAGAGAGAGAGAGAGAGACGACGAGGAGAATGGTCTGCGGGCTATGAACACACACACACAGGCCCCGCGCCTCTACTCTCGAAATGTGCAAGACGAGAGTGAATCTTCTGCTAGAACATGGAAAGATACACCACCTTGATTTTTGAAATTTTGTGTTTGAAATTTTGTGCACGTGGAGAGTAGTGGAGCGAGGCCGGAGCGAGGCCCATAGGCATACGTGCGGATTAGGGACTCTGAAGGAACACCACCTCCGGACAAATCCAAGCCAAAATGAACGTTGTTAGCATTGTTAGGGACTATGGGCCTCGCTGCAATTGCACTTGAATCTTGAAGAATCAAGTGTAGGGCACCCCCGCACTTACACTCGAAAACAAAGCTGGGAAACAGCTTCAAGAGCTGTCAGATTGGCGCTAGATTCTTCAAGAGTGACTCATCACTGCACTCACTCCTGACGGATGCTCTTGAATTTCTTTTTCAAGAGGTGTCAGAAGGCCCGATTCTGACAGCTCTTGAAGTGTTCAAGTGTGCCTGCCTGCAAGCATGGGTTTTTAAAGGGTGGTCGGCCCGACCCTTCACGAGCTCTTCAGCTTTCAAGAGCGGGCCTCCAGTCTGGGCGGACAAAGCAGCTTTTTTTTTTTTTTCCGGGAAAAATGGGGAGTCCTTTATTCAAAGTATAAAACTCTGAGGCCGGGAATCCTCAACAACAACCCGGTTGTCATCAGGGCACCGGAAAGAATCCAGCTTCAGTTTACTGCAATATGAAAAACCCGGTTGCTCACTGCTACTAAAGCTCACAGCTATTGCATTAACAGATTTATCGAGCCCTCTGCTCTTCGGTAAGACCTAACATAACCTAAACCATCCGGAACTGAAACGACTATAAAGTTGCCAAGATGGGGTCAAAAAAATTATACTGCAAGTCTAACCAGCGACCTGCTGGGCAACTGCCCCCATTTTGACACTCCACCCTATTACCCTGTATCCACATTCCAGATCCAAAAAAAGTCCAATCCCTAACTGCCTGCCTCCTCGGGCAAAATTAACCGAGTGCCCTCCCTGGTTTGAACTACTCACAAACAAGCCAACTGAAAAAAAAAAGATCCAAAAAAATACTTCAATCTCATTAACAAATAGGCCTTCTAACTAATGGACAAATTCCGAACAAGGAATACCCAGAAAAGAAAAGAAAGGAGCCGAAACCGTACACCCAACACAGAAACTGACACAAACCAGAAGAGAGGAACCTGGTTACTAGTGAAAGGATCTACTGTGGATCTATCCAACGACCCACTGAGTACTTGTCTCTTATTAACTATCTACAAGCAACTCTGTGAAAATGAGGCTCGAGCCCGATCCCGACCGAGTAGCCTGCTTTCAACCTGGGAACTGATTACCTACTTCAGCCAGTTACAGAAACTCAATTCTCCATTGGGGTTCACTTGAACCAACCAGTTGGGTCTTCTGCTGCATGCCCATGTTCTCTCGAACCACCTGTGGCCCCTCCCCAGCAACAGTCTATGCTCATTCCTCCTGTTCCAATCTGCCTTGATGTATTGTCTGAGTCTGGAGCGGACCTCCAGTTCGGCTTCCTTATCCGATGTACCTTCTCCCTGGAAGCATGCCTTGTTTCTGTTGTCCCAAATAACTGAGCAGAGGATAGCTCTGCATGCCTGAGCTACGTATCCGCGTCCCTCAGTATGGAGGACTGCAGTTGGGAGTAAACCTTGCAAGGCCCAATCTTTATCCCATTCCCAGTCCCAGGCCGCGAAATCCTTCCAATGGAGGGCCCACCACGCCCAAATCCGCCTGGAGGCTGGTCAGTCCCACCACAGGTGGACTGTCGATTCGAAGGGCCAGGTACAACGCCTGCATCCCATATGAATATCCAGTCCTTTCCCCACCAGCCAGACTGCAGAGGGAGTGACCGAGAGGGATAGTAGCCACAAAATGGCAGCGTGTCTTTGTGAGGGCAGATGTTTCAGCTGGGTCCAGAGTCTATTTACCTGTGACAGCACTGTGGGTGATGAGCCCGGTGTTACTGTGTCCCACCGTTCTGCCGCCAGAGAAACAGGGCGCCGGGTGGGGAGCAGCAATTCTGAGGATGTCTTCATAAGGACCATGGGGAGCGTAGCCCTGTCTTTGCCTAGGCCTCTCCACCCCCAGGCCATTGTGTCCAGCTTTCGTTCGGCCACCGGAGTATCATTGAAAGAGGTTGCACTGTGATTGTCCTCTTCTTCCCAGCACTCTAAGACTCTTACCTGATGTAAGGGAATTCCCAGTTGCGGTCTGTAGTGAGCCGAATCCTGGGATATCCCAGAGAGTTCCTCTTCATCCGAGGTGTGGGAATCCGTACTGGAGTCTCCAGGGACATTGTATACCAAGGTGAAGGAGCCTGGTACCTTGTCCCATCTCTGGAATTCTCTAGTACCGGAAGAAGAGTAAGCAATCAGTTTCCAGTAAACCGGTGGTTCAGAATTAACTCTGGTGATATACCAAGTGCCTGGAGGGTCCACAGCCTCCGGAGCCAGTTGGTCCTTCCACACTTGGGGAATTGCAGCGACAAGACTACTGAGCTTTGCTTCAATATCCTGGAGATGGCCGAGTTTTAGTTTGACTTCCTCTGTACAGAGCCAGCCGCCTTTTACCAAATTCGCAGATGTCCCTGATACGGAGTATTCCTCTGCGAATCCAACTCAGGCCGAATGCCCCTGGTTCTTTGTTCGCTCTGAACGGATGATCTTGCACGTCCCTGATGCTCGGGTTGTCGAGGGGCTGATCAAGCACTTCTGTTTTGGTGGACGGGGTGACCCATTCCGTGGGTTTCACTTTCGTCCATGCTTTAATAACCCCTGCCCAAAACTTCGATTTCACTCTCCTGTTTAGGAAGGAATCTAGCTGGAGGCAGAGCCAGACGTCTTCGTTGCGAGCAAGATCCCATTCGGAGGCCAAGATGTGTTCCCCCATTAATACCCAGTGTTCTGTACCTTGACTTTCCGTAGCCTTAACGATCCAGTTGGCCAGCAGCAGGCAGTTTCTGCGATGGTGGTCTTCAATACCGAGTCCTCCCTCCTCTCTAGACTGAGTGATAAGGTCTCATGCCACCTTCGATACAAACCCCTCGTCCGCTTCGCCCCTCGGTTTCCAAATAAATCTTGCCGCAGTTCTGCAGGTCAATGCCAAAAAGGATGGACTCAAAAGGCGGACTGTGCCTACAAAGTTTAGCAATGAGAGAAGGGAGACGTTGACCTATGAAACACCCGCGGACGCGTCCGCGGGGTCGAGCTCGGATCGCGGACCCAAATGGGTCCACATCCGCGGCCTACCTGGTCTGCACCGCGGACCCGATTTTACACCAATTTTCCTGCATGAAATAATAGGTAAAATATATATATATATGGGGTTGTAGGGAATTTTAAGCCCTACAACCCCATATATCGTCAAATAGAACTGCCCGGTATATATTTTTTTTGAATCCGACTTCGTTTAGGATTTTTAAAAAATCAAAAACGAAATTGGATTTAAAGAAAAAATATATCTATATATAAAGAAAAGCAGGAATTTTTTTTGGTCMTTTTTTATCATGAGATATATGGTCCGTGAGTTTACCTGTAATTTTTTAGAAATGAATTTATGTTTTTT